AGGTCTAGGCTTCCATTCTCACCAACACCTTCGAGAACCACTAATGGTTTCAAATAAAGATCATGTTTCCATCTATAGTGATTGTGTTCTCATAAGTGGGGAAATCATGGTAGGATTCCTCCACCAAAGCTTCGACATTGAAGTCATCTATATTCTTTGTGATGAGGACGCATGGATTGGTGTAAAGGGGCTCATGAAATACACATAATAAACATGTTAGGATTGTAGTTGCTATGCAAATGGTGTGGAAACAAGGTATTTAATATTCTAGAAAAGAAGAAGCATACTAAAAAGTGCTACTATTAATCTTAGTATAACTTGAACACAAACAAACTACAAGACGTTTAGTTTTAGTTTGACTTATGATACCAGACAGTCATATATTGGTTCAAGCCCATCCTAAGGAGGACAATCATAAAAATCACAATTAGTTTTAAAGTCACCACAGTCTGAATAGTAATTTCTAACCTATTTTATTAATCCAATAAAAAAACAAACAAGTCCATAAGGACACCACACGTACCATGGTCAAGCAGATCACCTTAAACGTTCACAACAATACTTTATAATGTGTTACTTGATGATTCTACCAGAACTTATCTAAAGTATGCAGAAGAGAATTTAGATAAGCCATGCAAGTAATCACAATTAATCTACTCTTAGCATTTCTTTTTCTTTTATTTTTGCTCGTGCATATTACACTAACTTGTAACATGGCTATGTATTTTATAAATCTGTCATAAATCTAGATGCAAACAACTTGTTCCTCTATAGAAAAGTGGTCACTCTGTTTTTTAAAAGAAAACATCATTGATAGAATATTCGATCCAAAAAATGGAACACAAAAGTATATGCTTAAGTGCACAAAGTCAGAAATGAGTCCTAATTAGTCTAGAGACAACCGATTAGTCAAATGAGTTAGCCTCCAATACTTATGGCTTTTTCGTGAAATGATGAAAAGGAACACATAGATGCCAACACAAATAGAAACACATTGGTTAGTTGAGTGCAGTTTAAGCTCTGTTGATTTTTTCCTTCTTTTGCTTCTAGAAAATTTGTTTTAGTCGAAATAGTAGTTAGGGCTCACAAATTTATAAAATATTCACATTACAATTCCTGTTTTCTATTAATTTTTCAATAGATGACTTTGAAATAAAAAGCCATATTGACATAAACAATTGGGTTCTCCAAATCACTAGAAATATAACTCAGTAAAAATAAAACAACTAATGAAAAGTAATCCATAAAACACCACATATGGAAGCTAATAGCATAAAGGGTTCGGTATCACTAACAAATATTGGGGTCAATGTTCAACCCCAATCAAGATAAGGAAGAGGAGTAGGAGAATGGAACTCCACTTAAACAAAGTGAGAGTGTACTAGAATCTTTTTTTTCTTTTAACATCAAAGCTTGAAAGAAATTCACCATATTAACATTGAACTAGAAGCATCTTTTTAAACATCATAGAGGAAAAATTTCTCATAAAAATGCATAAAACCTACAAGAAATTAAATCAAAAGCCATGTAGGAACCAAAGAAATCTAATTTCCTGGAGATCATAATCGATTAAGCTGCTTTCAAAGTGGTTCCATATTCATCGATATAAAAGTGATCAAAAGAGTTCTAGGCACATAAAATAAGGGAAACTCGTTAGTTTATGTAGTCTAACTTATCTGATACTCAAAGCAAGAGAAGGATCAAAGAAATTTTGTTTGGAGTGACCTATTCAATATGGGGCGAAACTATCCAAGATTACTACATAATTTAATCTTCATTTAGAATCTTAGATACATACTTCTAACAAAAGGACCTTGCTACACAATCATAGAAAATAATCTAAAAAGAGCAATTGAGTCCCAAAAACACTTAGTAAATCAACATGGGGAGGAAGACGTACCTGGACTTCAAAGAGAGAGAGAGATAGAGAGGAAAAAATCGGTACTCCAAGAAATTAGGTCAAAAGCCATGCAAGAATCAAAGAAACCAGATAATAGGGAAAGAGAGAGAGGGAGAGATAGAGGAGTACAGAGGAAGGAAAGAGGGGGCACGGGGAGAGAGAGA